CGTCCCATAGTGTTTTTTCCTCCTCCCACTCCCCTGTCCCATACTGTTCTTTCCTCCCTCCTCCCCTGTCCCATAGTGTTCTTTCCTTCCCCGTCCCATAGTGTTTTTTCCTCCTCCCACTCCCCTGTCCCATACTGTTCTTTCCTCCCTCCTCCACTGTCCCATAGTGTTTTTTCCTTCCCTTGTCCCATAGTGTTTTTTCCTTCCCCCACTCCCCTGTTCCATACTGTTATTTCCTCCCCCCTCCCCTGTCGCATAGTGTTTTTACCTCTCCCCTCCCCTGTCACGTAGTGTTTCCCCCCCTCCCCTGTCCCATAGTGTTCTTTCCTCTCCCCTGTCCTATAGTGTTTCCTCACCCCATCCCCGGTGTGTCTCCTACCTTTCTGGTGGCGTGGCCGGGCGGAGCAGACCGCAGAACAGGAGCTTCAGTTTCAGACTGACAGTAAGTTCTCTCTCAGAAGTTTCTCTGACAGGATCAGAATTTCTTCCTCCCCCACCACTGTCCCATAGTGTTCTTTCTTCCCCCCTCCCTCCCCTGTCCCATAGTGTTCTTAACTCAACCTCCCCCCCCCCTCCTCTGTCCTCTAGTGTTTCTTCACCCCAATCCCCGGTGTGTCTTCTACCTTTCTAGTGGCGTGGCTGGGCGGAGCAGTAAGTTCTCTCTCAGAAGTTTCCCTGACAGAATCGGAATTTCTTTCCTCTCCCACCCCTGTCCCATAGTGTTCTTTCCTCCACCCTCCACCCCCCTCCCCTCCATATAGTGTTACTTCACACCATCCCCGGTGTGTCTCCTACCTTTCTGGTGGCGTGGCAGGCAGAGCAAACCGCAGTACAGGAGCTTCAGTTTCAGACTGACAGTAAGTGCTCTCTCAGATGTTTCTGTACTGCGGTGCGCACTGCTTCACTCGGCCACGCTAAACTGACTGAGTGACTGGCAGGAGGGAGCGCTGTGTGCCCACCTCCTGCCGTCACTTCAATTAACCCCCCCCCGTGGGCTGGTGCACCCTAAGTTGGCTGCTTGTGTTGCCTTATGGACGCGCCGACACAGATGGTGTCGGTGGTGTCACTCTTGTGACGCCACTGGCGGCTCTGACAGGATCGGAATTTTTATTCATTTAAATTTCGAACCGAACAACAAGTCCCGAATTTGGTCCTAAATGAACAAGCTGCTCATCTTCATGTCTAAATGACAGGATATTCAAACGGCGAATGAAGCAATGTGAGAACATGGAGAAGTGAGTATGTGGAAATGGAGTGTACTTAAGCTCCTCCTTTGGACAAAAAAGGTCAAGCATACAAAAAATACATAAGTTTTACAGAAAACTAGATCAGAAATAAAGAAAAGAAGAACAAGTTCTGAGAGAGGTAGAGAAGAGGAAGCAATTGTTCGGCATGACAGTGCCGCTTTAATGTTGGATTTTAAAACATCATTTATTTAATGTTGTTCCATCCCACATTTTGTTCATTTGTTACTTTTTACTTAGATTTAGTTCATGAGTATCGATCATTTTAACTTTATCTTCCAACTTATTTTTCCCTTTTTTAGGACACCTTTTTTATCTACGATAACATCTGGTTATAATGGATTTATTATTTTTATGGTGTATATAACAACATATTCCTTTTAAACTGTCTACCAATATTTATTTCTTCCTCCTTTAGGGTACTTTTATGATTTGAGGTATCAAGTATTAGCAGTAGAATTATTCCCGTATCTTATATATATTAATCAAAATATTGCTTTTTATTTTTATCTGTTTTATTGATGTTGTTAGTTTTTAGCGACCAAGGTATACTTATTTGGTTTTAACATGTTTTTGAAATGATCTCCATATGGATGCAATATACTAAATTCTGTACAGGGATTGTATTTTTAATGAAGAGGTCTATTGGCTATTTATAATCAATAAATACTCACCTGGTTCAAGACTGTTTAAAGATCTTTATGTTTGGACTAAATATTGGAAAAATACTTTCATGTGTGTGTGTAAAGGTATGGCAAGAACTTAAACAAAGATGGTGCCCAAACTTAAAAATAAAGACGCTAAAGTAGAGAATAATGTTGGACACCAATGCGGAATTCCGTAAGTGACTAATGATGAGACGGATGTCTAAAAAGCATACAATAGGGACGGAAAGGAGTGCCAACCTCCCTATAAAGGTGCAGAACTTGTCAATCAACAAACTATGCACTCTGAAGAAGACTTTCATTGAGCGAAACATGTCAATGCTTTTTTTTTTTTTTTTCTATATTGCTTTGTTTGGCCTGGAATTTATTTTTGTAATGATTAGAAGAGTGTTATTATTTTACCTTATTCTCATTTACCTATATCAAGCACTGAGGGGATTTTTTACACGTATCTGCTGGGGGAGAATCCAGAGAACTGCCAAAGGGATATCTGATTGGAGCCTTAAAAGTCTGAGCCTACTATATTTGGATCAGCAACATGTGAGTTGGATAACCATATTATTACATGATTTTTTAAATAAATGTGTAACATACTACAGTATGGTCTGTTTTTATATTTGTGTATTTCAGGCTATATCCAAATCCAAATTGATGGTAATATTCTATTTATGCATGGTGCGCTCTCACCTATAATTTTCTTTTAAGTTTATTTCGCCAAAGCAGGGCAAGCCTCCTCAATGATGACAACATGCTGGCCTCATTGCCAGCATGCCGACGTCTGAATGGAGTGGCATTAGCTGGCTAGGTAGTTACCATAGCAACCACAACGCATGCGAATTTCTGATAGTGCCTCCCTCCCTCTTCCAGTCACGTGTGGTATTCCCCAAGGCTCCATACTCGGCCCCCTGCTCTTCATATTCTTTATAAAGGATCTGCCTAATTTCTGCAAATCCTCAACTGTACACATGTATGCAGATGACACTGTAATCTACGCTAATAAACCCAATCTATCGCAACTTGAGGCTGTGTTCCAAAACCAATTCACAGAGGTAGAAAACTGGATAGCAGTTAACAAACTCTTCCTAAACACTGACAAAACAGTTACAATGATCTTTGGAACTGTACTTAAATTACGTAGACTACAAAATTAACAACTATGTATCAGAACAAATTCAAATAGCACACAGACAGCAGTCTGTTCTTTCAAATAGCTAGGTATGTTGCTAGACCCCAATCTATCCTTTGGCCTTCACACTGAAAAAATCTCTTCAAAACTTTATCCTAGGTGCCCTGTTCAGAAACAAATCCTGCCTAAGCCCTACAGTAAGGAAACATAGTGCAACAAATGCTAATGCCGGTCATTGATTATGGTGATGTTGTGTATGCACCTCCATCGCAGACCCACCTTAATAAACTTAATATGTTGTATAATTCGTTCTGCTGCTTTGTACTAGAATATAATTATTTTACACACGACTGTGACAAGTTAAAAGAGCTAAACTGGCTATCGCTGGAATCCCGATGCACTCTTCATCTTTCCAGCCTTGTGCATAAGAGCTTTTCCGGGAAGCTCCCACCCTATCTGAGTAGATTGCTCGCCCCAGCTGTTCCCACCTCCTAAAACCTTCGATCCAGTACCAGCACGATATTTAGCATACTGCAGTACAAAAATAAAGTGGCTCAGTCCTCATTTTCATACAGAGCATCGCAATTATGGAATAACCTCAGGGATACAGTCAAATCTTCATTCAATCTAAAATCTTTTAAGAAATCTATGGCAATATATCCCAGCACAGGATATACCTGTCATGGTTGAATATATTTATTACCTGTTATGTATTAAATTTATATATGTGTGTGTATGCATATATATATATTGTTCGTATATTGTATTTTTAGTGATATTGTACCCTATTGTAACAATGCAATGTTTTGTGGACCCAGGACATACTTGAAAATGAGAGAAATCTCAATTTATCCTTCCTGGTAAAATATTTTATAGATAAATAAATGTTTGAAATTGATGTTTTCAAATTATCTCACCCTCTGTGTCTGTTTGTTTCCCCCTAGCCCATGTCTGTCTCTTTTGCCCTTTCCCCAGCCTCTCTAGCTAAATATAATAGGCAATTAGAGATGGCAACAAAGAGACACACAGAGGCGCTGTGGGGGACAAAGAGCAACACAAAGGGGCTGGTGGAGAAAGAGACACGCAAAGTGGCTTGGGGGGAAGAAACACAAAAAGGAGCTGGGGAGAAAGAGACACACAGAGGGGCTGGGGAAGGTAAAAAGAGACACAAAAGAGTTGGGGGAGAAAGACACACACAAAGTCTGCATTTTTTGTTTGGTGGGGTGCAAATAGGTGGTCTTGCCTAGGGCGCAAAATAGTCTTGCACCGGGTTGGTAGTGAGTGATTGTGGCAGGGTGGTGAATGTGACAAGGGGGAAGAGACAATTTGTTAAATACAGTCCCCTACACCAACTAGTAATGCCTTTTTTATATTTTTGTATAGAGCATTTGCCCCTCCCCACGCACAAAGGGGGGCAATAATTCATTCCCTGATGGTCCTGTGCCGTTCTTGGTGGTCCAGTGGGCTGCAGTTTTCCCAGCCTGCGCTCTGACATCATAACAAAGCACTGGAACAACAAGGGAGTGCAGCTGCACCACAGACCACCAGAGTCAATCTCTAAAGAGCCTGCACAACATTTTTTCAACTCTCTGCCGGCTCGAGGAGGGGGGCCTGATCAGAGCTGGAGATTATGGGTATCCAGCTCTGGTGCCCCTCATCATGTGGTGGCCAGGGCACTTGCACCAACAGCCTGTCTAGTTTTGCCATGGGTGCTTAGAGTACCCCTCCTGATTGTGATTTACCTGTGTGCCAGACTATTCCTAGTTATAATGTGAAATAGTAAAAAGGTGGAAAACACCCAGAATACGTGTAGGTTACTATATAAAATATACAACAACCTGATGGAGAATGAAATCCATATGAATTCTGTATAAAAATCAGAAATCTGACATAGCGTAATACAGTAAAGGAGCTTTTTAATCTATAAATATAAGTGATTATAGATACACTCACAAACGCACGTGAGACTGGGCTTCTCGCCCACTCAGGGGCAGTATGTAATCCGATGGATAAGTTAGAGAATCACCTCATAGGATATATAAAAATAAAGGAAAACAAAAATAGTGAAGTTTGTTATAAAAAGTACAAAATCACATTTATTGGTCACACTTACATGTGTGTAAATCACAAAGAGCGTATCTCTCAATAACCTGGAACTCCATGCAATGTTGTCATCAATCCAAAAATAGGAATAAACAGGAGTGGTTATAGATGAATAGCCAAAATATAAATACAAACAAATAAAAAACAGTATAAAACAATATAAAATATAGGTCCAATATAGAAATCCAACGCGTTTCGTCCTATAGGGTGTAGGACTTCTTCAGGGATACTTCTATACTTCTTTTTCTCCGGTTTAAATACCGGTAAAAATCTCCGTTTGATTGCGTTCATCTGTTATTCAGCGTGCGTTCCATCCGTGGAACGCACAAAGACGCGGGGATATGACGAAATTCAAAGAGACAGTTCCGTATTTCTACTGCGCATGCGCGCAAAAGGCGCGCATGCGCATATTGAAAAAAGATCGAAACCTAAGCAGAATATAAAACAGAAAAGCAAAAAACAGCCTGAGACATCTGGACATCAGAAATAAATCGTTAGGGGCTGCATTGGAGGGTGTAGGCATAAAATAAAATGGAATTAAACATATCTATAAATGAAAAAATATATAATAATTGAAAAAAATATATAAAAATAAACAAAAATAAATAAAAATATACAAAAAAATATATATATACAAAAAAAGGTATACAAAAAACTATACAGTACTAAAAAAACAAAATAAGAAAAAATCTATAAATACATATAAACATACATCCTACAATGCAACCCATCAAATTAGAAATTGGATGACACATCTGTGTAATGAAACATAGGTACATACCCTATTAACCCAAGGTCTATACAGAAATGAGAGGAAAGACAAACATATAAATTACACATATGTGAAAAAAATATATATATATACATATATACATATACATGTATACACACACACACATATATAGAAAGAACACATACATATGTATATATATATAGAGAGGAAAAACTCTGCCATTAAATAAGACCCTGAAGGTCTATTTCTTGATTAAGTCCTTGATGTAAAGTACTGAGATTAAAGATCCACAGAGCTTCCTTTCTAATTAATTCCTGGTTTTTATCTCCTCCTCTCCAACCTATCTGAACTGAGTCTATGCCAAAAGCTTGGAAAGTATTCCAGCTAAAAGAAGGACAAGAGTTACAGTGCCTGGGGACACTGTGATCTAATTTGTTTCTCTTTATGTTATTAAAATGTTCTAAAATTCTGGTATGCAATTTTCTAGACGTACGACCAACATATTGAGCTCCACAACCACATTGTAATAAATATATAACAAACATGGAGGAGCAATGAATATGTTTTTTTATATTGTACGATTTTTTTGTATAAGTTCCTATAAAATCTGTAACTTTCTTTTTTTGATGTTTACACGTGGAACAACGGCCGCAGCTATAAAAACCGGTAATCGGAGTCTGAAGAACATTATTGCATAGAGGTGTTACAGGTAATAAACTCGGTGCTAATTTGTTTTTTAGGTTGGTGGATTTCTTATATATTACTGTTGGAAATTTAGGCAATACATGTTTCAAAATATCGTCTTTCATTAAAATGTACCAATGTTTTTTAAGTATTTTTTCAACTTTTTTAACTTGAGAATTGTATTGGGTAATGAAGGCAAATTCAAATTTATTGTTATTTTTATTTTTATTTTTACATATAAATCTATTATTCAGATTATATTGAGAAGCAGTATGATTAGAAATAGTTTCTGTTGTTTGGTCATTTTTATTTGACAGAAAAAGAGATCTATCTGTATTTAATATTTCCAATTCAGCTATTTCCATATTTTTGACATTATAGCCCTTTTCTACGTATCTTTGTTTTATAATTGTGGATTGTTCTAGAAAAACTTTATTGTCTGTACAGTTTCTCCTAAGTCGGGTAAACTGACTTTTAGGAATATTTGCTAACCAAGAGGGGTAATGGGCACTTGAACATTCAATGGCTGTATTACAGTCTGTAGGTTTGAAATATGTTTTGGTTTTTAATTGATTATGTTCAATGTATATGGTTAGATCCAAAAAATTAATCGAGGAATCACTAACCGTAGAAGTAAATTTTAGATTATAGTCATTATTATTAATCTGACCTAAAAAAAGATCTAAATCCTCTGCAGTGCCATCCCAGATGATGAGAACATCATCTATGTAGCGCTGCCATAGGACCAAACCACCCCCAGCTGAATCCCCCAACCTGACATGTTGCTGTTCCCCATGGGACACGTACAGATTGGCGAAACTTTTATGCCGGTGCAGTGATTAATAAAAAGTAATGATGGTCCAGGCACTCAAGTTCAATCCAGTGGGCAGATTTATTGGAGCAGAATCAAAACAATGTTTTGGCCCACAACAGGGCCTTTGTCAAGCCCATGCATTAAGACAGCCCTGACTACAGTCCATTTAAGTACATGTGCAGAGTCTTGGGCTTTGTATGATAGTCTTTTCAAACAGTTTGTCAAAACCATGGCTCTATGTCTATCATTGCTGCCTACAGATGGAGGGTTACTGTGGAGGACGTTCACAATACAGAAGAGTTTACACTGCTGATTGATAACTTGTAAATTAAACAGATTCATGGCACAGTTAAATAAATTGTCAAATCTAGATTGGGAAATACACTAGAAAGCAAAGTACAGCATTTGTCAATTCTGTTTGCATAAGGAACAAAGCAATTACTTTCCTTCTACAGGAAACAGGGATTGCATATTTTCCCTAATCAATCAGCAGGTGAAATATTAACTAGTAACACATAATCAGTTGGCCAGTTTCCTATGGATAACCTTATGAAAATGGTTTGAATTCTCTAGGTATTGTTTTTCAAACCTATTGTATCCTATATGTTAATACCCATTTGATACAAATCACAAGCCCACCATGTAAGGTCAAGACCATATTGAAGTTTAAACATGAACTTCACCATTATGTGCCTGCCAGGATCCCTTCTGTGGTGACCAGGTTTTTCCCTCATGGTACTCACCTTTCACATGATGTTACAGGTCCCCTTCAGCTCTCCTCTTCCTTCTCCAGCCGTTTTCACGCCCGTTGCGAAAGCTCCGCCCCTTTTATGATGTGAAAAGGGGGCGTCTACGTCATTATGCTAATGACGTCACATGCCGCCGAAACGTTCGGATTATGGCATTTTGGGGGTGTGGCTACCATACTTACAAGCCACAGTATAAAAAAGATTCAAAGGGCTAGGTTCCTTGCCCTGTTGGGGTTCATTTTTGTTCCAATAGTGCTAGTTCAGTATTCTGTGTTTCAGCTTTTGATCTTGGCTTCGTTTGTGACTATTCTTCATTCTATACTCCTTGACCCGGCTTTTGGCTTACTCGCTTATCCTGATTTCTGTACTCCTTGACCTCAGCTTGAATTTGACTATCCCTTGTTCTTATACGTTAGTCCGGCCATTCTAAGGTCCTGTATACCTTACCCTTTATCTACATTCTGCGTATTGGCTCTCAGTCCACTCCTGACATTACAACAGGGCCTTATGGATCCTGCAGTTGTAGGTGCTCAAGGGGCTCCATACGATACCCGTGTTGAGGAAATGGACCATCGTATGGACCATTAGCCCTTCAAACCCTCATGAATAGGTCCAACCCCGGGTCCGAGGAAGGTCGTAACCTTGCCCTGGCTCCGGTACCCTCGGGTTTAGAGGTTGCTACTGTTGGGGCCTCTTCACATGTTACATCACCATTACGTTATGGTGGAGCACCTGATGCATGTCTGGGTTTTTTGAACCAGGTTAGCATCCACTTCGAATTACAACCTCGTTCTTATCCGACTGATAGAGCTAAGGTTGGTTTTATCATATCCATATTAGTTGATAAAGCTTTAACCTGGGCCAATCCTCTCTGGGAGAACAAAAATCAGTTGGTATACAATTATGTTGCTTTCATAGCTGCATTCAGACACACTTTTGACCCTCCTGGTAGGAAGGCTAATGCTGACAGAACCTTACTTCGTCTGAAACAGGGTATTAGATCATTGGTCGATTATGCCCTGGAGTTCAGATCCTCAAGCACTGAAGTAGCTTGGAACAACCAATCTTTTGTAGACATATTCCTTGATGGTTTGTCTGATGTTATACTGGATGAGATAGCTACCAGGGAACTCCAAGAGAATCTAGAGGATTTGATATCTTTTATATCACGTATTGATGTTATACTGGATGAGATAGCTACCAGGGAACTCACAGAGAATCTAGAGGATTTGATATCTTTTATATCACGTATTGATGGTATGCGGTTCAGACAGATCGTCCTAGGAGAGCTTCTGTCTGTTTAGCTCCTGCCTTTTATGCCCCTATTTCAATGGCATTGGCATTACCCGAACCTATGCAATTAGGGGTTACTAGGTTGTTCGAAGCGGAGAGACAGTACAGAAGCAGGGAAGGTTTATGCATGTACTGTGGACAAAGGGGACCTCCCGCACCTAAGTTCCATTGGAGGACAGACCTTGGGTGTTTTCTCTTTGTCTTCTTTGTCTAATCCCCATCACCTTAATCTGGGAAAAGAATAGACTACAAACTATGGCATTGATAGATTCAGGGGAAGCAGAATGTTTTATTGAACAAAATTTTGCTGCTTCACAATCAATCCCTTCCATGTTAAGGAATACACCCTTGGCCATTGAGGCCATAGATGGTCGACCACTGTCAGTGCCTGTGATTTTTCATGAAACTATTCCCTTGCATACGATTACCAGGGTTGTACACCATGAGATAGGTGTATTTCAACTTATCACTTCACTGTCTTTTCTGGGTTGGTTACTAAAACACAACCCAGTCATAGATTGGGAAAAATCCTGGAGTAAGAGTTGCTATCAGGGTTGTGTTATGAAAGTACGCACTGTTAATCTTAGTAACGTACCTACTATGCCTCCTTTATCCACTGAAGTCCCAAAACCCAATTTAGGCTTAAAGGGCAGTATTCGATAAAGGAAAAGCAGAGTTGTTACCTCCACACTGATCCTATGACTGTGCCATTAATCTTCTTACTGGTACCATGCCTCCTAAAGGTACAGTTTACCCTCTTTCCGCCAAGGAAAACTCAGTTTTGGAGGAGTATATTACAGAAAATTTA